ATTCCACAATACTAGTATTAAAGAACAAAATTAAGTAAAAAAATTACATCGTTCTATCGAGTCATGTCGACTACTAGTTACCAAACATACCATTTGTTGGAAATTTACTTAACATGCACATCGGAAAATAAATTATTTTTCAATTCTCACCAAAGATCTGATTTGTGTTTAGAGAGAAACAGTGATAGAAATTATACATTTGATGAATTTTGAAAACTCATTTTCTGATTCTCGAACACGAAACAATTACGAACTACAATCCACACTGTTCAATTGTCCAGGCTCTAATGGAAATCCACATGGGAAACAAGAAAAAGAACTAGGGTTTTTTTTTCCTTTTCTTGTGTTAACAAGAATAATAATAATGATGTGTGTTTATTTTCAAACCCTAGTGGCATATTAATAGAAGTCCAAGTGGGCCCAACCTGTCTCTTAAACTTAACCCGGTCCTATTTTTATTTAATCCAATTAATTAAATTATATCCATGAATTAATTAATCCAATTAGTTAATTTGAGTATATTAATAAGCAACCCAACTAATTAATTGTACAACGACTGTAAATTAATTAATTGAAATTTCATGTTTATGGTTCTCCTTTTGTGTGAGATTCATCAGGTTCCTGATCACGATATCAAACGACGTCAATTATTATTTTGATATAATCAAAATCGATAAATGAAAATGACATATTATCAATTCACATTCGTCATCCCAGATTGATATCTAGCAATGTATCAAGGTAATACATGTAACAGGAAATGTTACGTGGTATGACAAAACTAAACTTGTTCATTTACCGTGAAACTATAATCCCTTCGTCAATATGATCCGATCAATTACGATATATAAATGTGTGTCAATCTCAATTATCAATCATATCTTTCATCCCACTATTAAGTCATTGTAAGTCGAAAACTCCTTTTCAACTTATGAGTTCACATCGGCCAAAGATTTCATTATCAACTTAATTGAATGAAATGTAGATCATAATCTCTTACTATCTAAAAGTGACGAATCCTCTATTGATCATCCACAACCTTCATATGATTTTTGACATACCCGAACGATGCCATATTAGCGACCCTTGGCAGAGCAACATCCAACATCACCAAAGCATGACTATCCTTATATAACTTCTTGATCCAACAACTCCAAGTTCGTTAATGAACTTCTTGATCCAGATGGCTTCCTTTGCTGCTTCAGAATCAGAAATATACT